CGACGGTCTGATCGAGATCCCCCAGATGGCCTGTCAACAATTCTTCCAGGACTAGGGTATGATTCATGAGAAGTATTGACATTAGAAACCGCCAAGGCCTCTGATACATCAGGTTTACATTCAAAACCCTTTGGAAGATTAGTGTACTGCTCTCTGAATTTCAGTAGGAAATCTCTAGAATATTTTTTGGCCATGACTCCATTTCCATCCTCACCAAGATGCTTCAATCCTCCATGAGCCTGCTTCCCATCATCTAATGTTTCCAACTTCGGAGTAGAGATGTCAGCAGCATCTTCCCAATCATCTGGCTCAGCTTTACTCTGCCCACCATTTTCACTTGATACAACATCATCCTTCGCATCAACCGGTACCTCCTTCAAATTAATGCTAGATGTGCTGGCCATGCTTTCTGAAGAGGCAACAGCGTCTTTCTTTCCATCTGGACCCTTATATGCCATATAGAGATCGGAGATGTTCCAAGAGCATCTGCCTTCTGTAGAATTTCTTTTCTTTTCTTCTTCCCTTTGGCCAAAGTACTCTTCGACCTATTAAGTTCTGGCAACGGTTTATCCTTGGAACCTGCAGCTGGAAGAGAAACCAAGCCAGCATTTAGATCCTCAGTACCTTCCCCTTCATGTTTCAAAGTTGGTTCTGAAACAGATTGAATAGTTGAAACAGGAGCTGCCTCCTTATCTGGAAGAACGGACTTTGTAACAACAGCTTCTGTACTGCCCAAGCTATCACTTCTACTAAAAGGGGCATCTGAAATTGAAGTCGTCTCATCACCATTTGAATGATTAGATAAACTGGGACTTGAAGACGAAGTTTTAGCATTTGTAGCAACTGGCACTAGGGGCATCACTAAATTATCATTCACCACATCATCTTTTTTGCAATGACCTACAGGCTCTTCCAAATCCTTCTGTCCAACTTCCAGGGATCCAACCTCATTGGAGTTAGTTGTTACATTCGGAACAGAGTTTGGTTTAGTATGATTAACTACTTCCGCAGATTTTAAAGAAACAGATTCTGAAGATGTCCCAGAACTGTTTTTATTTTGTTTGGGCCCTTCATTCAACATAATTCCTCCTTGTTCATTTGTCCCCAGAGTTTCAAGCTTTATCAGTTCATCTTGTGGAGAAGAATCACTTTGCCTAGCACGGTGCTCTGTGTCCAAGCTATCAACAACTACTGAAGTTCCAAATGTTTTGGAGGATTCACACGTGGAGCCTTGCACTTCAATATCACTTCTTAATTCAGGAGCATCAGGAGAAGCAGCACTATTGGTGGACAGAGGTTCCCTGGTAGATTCCACTTCCATAATGCCTCCACTGGTACTTCTTGATGAAGGGGATGTTTTAGTATGTACAGTCTCAGCAGTGCCACTGTTAAAAGAATTAGTATGCTCTAAAGAATGAGAAGGCAAGCCCAAAATTGAGGTAGATTGTCCAGAAACCTGCAAACGACATTTCAAAATCCACCCCACAAATTATGGTATGCATAAATAAAAGCAGAACAATTTTGATCTGGTCAGATTACAAAATACCTGATGCTGTGAGTGAGAATGTCCTTTTTTGGTCTGCTTCTTCTGTTGATCCTTAATGGAGTCGGACCTACTAATTGTTTCTCTTCTTCTGCCTTCGGCACTATGGGTCATAACAGGTGCTGACTCCTCAAGGGGAGCAAGAGAGGCAGAGGAGACTGAATTGGATACTGTACCCTCGACAGAAAGAGGAGATGCTGCACTAGATTGTTCACCTGCCACATGTAATGAAGGTGGCATTAGTTCTGGACCAGGTTTTGGCTGATGTGAAGAGTGTTCCACCCGAGTCTCTAAATCCCTTTGAAGATGAATTGATCTAGTTTCCCCAGGTTTCTGTTGGAATTTAGGTGGTTCACCCTTTTCAACAGAAAGTGAGCTAATTGCCGGTAATGATGAAACAGCTAACTTTTCTACATGTGGCCCAGCAGCTGGTTTAACTGTCACCTGTACAGATGCTAATGGTGCTGAAGATATTGCATTATGAACATCACGGGAATGTTCCAAACTTGATGGTTCAGCATTGCCATGCACTATACTGCTGTTTTTATTGGCATAGGAGTTATGAGCAGAAGGGTTCATGAAAGATACAGTTTGTGGGCTCTGGCTAACTGAATAGCCAAACCTTTGTGGCTGAGAACTTGGATTAATTGGGTTACTATTTAAAGGAACAGAACTTGGCCCAGGAAAATAAAGGGGATTCGGATTGTAATTAGAGTAGTAGCTGATAGGATGAGGAGGTGGAACTGATGTAATAGGCTGGGATTGTGGAGCATTTGGATGCGACCTTGGGCCTGATGACCCACCATCCATACAAGTATCGGCCCTCCTACCAAGCCTCAACTCTTCATGGGTATCTGGATGAGTAATCTTGACAGGTTTACGGGGGGGCACGAGTTTTCCTGCCTGCGGTTGTGTGAATTGTGGGTTAATGCCAATTCCCAAATTGCCTAACTGAGGCAGCTGGGGACCCATTTGAGGTGTGAAATTCAAGCCGCGACCTTGATGCATAATCCCCTGAGGTGGCAATGGATGGGCTTGTACACTTGGAACAAATACCTGCTGCTGCAGTTGAGAAGCATTTCCCATGGGGAATGGCATTGGCAATGAAGTGGCTGTCATGCCCTGAGACTGAATCTGTGGGTTGGGGCCACCAAATTGAACGGGGACTTGTTGTTGATGAAATGGCATTTGCACAGAAACCCCAGGGATAGGATGAACAGAAGCCTTCTGAGTTTGGGCTACGGGGGGTGTGGGCAAAATTTGAACATCCCTTTTGGCCTTGGACATTTGATGGGCCTCACCAGTACTAGGTTGGTCACCAGAACCTCCATCCTTTCTTAGCATTTGCTGCTTAGGAACAGATGGAATTGGAAACGTAGGCACCGCTCTTGAAGCATCATGACGTGCCTGGCAGACAAGGAATCACAAAATAAAGGGGAAATGAAAAAAAAAAAAAACACATTAGAATAAACCACAGTGATATCAAGATTATGCTTGCCAAGCAGCCACAACTATGATATTCATGCTACTTGAGTAATTTAGTCACACAAATATTAGAGAAAAGACATCGTTCAACGATTAAGAGTCAAAAAGAGACTAGTAATGTAGGCTCCACACAAAACCACAGGGTATGCTCATGCCAAATTCAAATTCCATGGATCAATATTTCACTGTATCAATATTGTAATGTTACAAACTTCAAAAGTGGTATGCACCACAATATTTCATCAGTCAGAAACCGGAGGATGGAGAGAAAGAAAAGCAAAGCTTTGTCACAGACCAGTTATTGTCTGCTGAACAGTCAGATCGTCAGAGAGGGAAGAAGCGACTAACCTGGTTCAAGTTTCTGCTCATCCAAATTTGGGGGTGCTGAGTTAGTTCGAGCAGGTATCTAAAACCAAAAGAGAAAGAAATTCATCTACTATTAGAGACAAAACAATGAAATTGTTAATTGCATTCACCATGCAATCCAAAATGAAGTTCTAAATATGCATGTATTCGGCCCCAAAAAGGAGCATAAATGTGAATACTAATTTACCTGCATTCCATTCATAAAACTAGGACTTATGGACCCAAATTGCAGAGAAAATGATGATTTAGAAGCGTCTCCTGGGGCAACGCAATCAGAAAAACAGTATATTATTAAATGTAGTTATAGCTACCAACAATCAAGTCATAACAAAAACAGTTAAGAAAAAAATGGCACAAAAATACCAACTAAACATTGCTACAGTTTCTAACATTCATAAAAACCAAGAACTGCATCAATAGCTTAATGTATATCAAGCACTAGACATATGTACCCTTTGAAGGAGTTGCAGGAACTGTGGTATCGGAACTGACAGCAGCGGACTGAGAAGATGGAGCTTTGGGAATAGCTCGGGCACTTTTCTGAGTTGCCATATCAGTTGCCGGCTTGACGGTGACGCCTGTGACTGAGGGATCAACTGTGCCAATATCAAAAACAATCAAAAGAACAAAATTCAATTTCTTCAATTCTGCTACTGTATCACCCGATAAAATTGTTGTGATCACAATATACAAAGTCAAGGTAACGCAATTCATCCGTCAAAAAAAAACCCAGTATAAACTACAATCTATTCATTCAATTTTACATTAACAAAAAACAAAATCAAAAGGTGGATTTTAAATACATACCATGAACTGGGGGTTGCAAATGGGAACCATTCTGAAGAGAACGGGCAGCAGAAGAATTATTAGAATCTGAATTCACTGCCACACCGCTTACCCTAGATTGTCCTCCTTGTGCATTATTAGGCTTCTTAAAACTAACAAAACCCAGAAAGAAAAATAAAAATAAAAATCATAGAGCTAAAAATTCACAACAAACCCTAATATCCAAAATTCACAAAATACATACAAATTTATTGATATAACAACAACAACAACGACAGAGAATCGTAATCCACCTTCGATTGGACGAAGAAGACGAATTGATTGAAGAGAGTGGAGGGGCGGTCCCGCCGCCGCCCTTCCCGGTACCGCCTGAGAAAGTCCTCGGCTGAGAAGAGTTCCCGGATCGGGCCGATTTTCTGAGCTGTGATGAATCGCTCCTCTCAGCCCTTGATTGATTGTGGGACATAAATCTAGCCCTCAAATCCCTTCAATTCTGTGTTTATTATCTTGTCTCTGTACCCAACACAGATCTCCAACGATCACACCACAAAATTAGCCAAAAACACCAAAATTGACATTTACACAATCAAATATAAACATAGATAATCGTCGATTACAGTTTAATTCGTGTTTTCACCTGTGCTGAGTGTGAAATTAGGGTTTTTATATTGCGGGAACCATGACGACAGTGCAAGATATAGAACAAGACGGTGACAGAGAGACAAAGAGAATCAGAATGTGGGTGTGTGTGTGTTTTGGTAGAGAAGTAGAGAGAGAAACAGAGTTAGAGAGAGAGAGAGAGAGAGATATTTGATAACAAACTGACCTGCGAGGTGGTGAAAAGGTAGGTTTTTTAGGAGATCGAAATCGAATGGGTCGTTCTCTCTTGTTTTGTTTTGTTACACTCTCCCTATAGTCTTTTCTGTTCACGCGCCGCCCTCCATCTCCACGCGCCGCCGCAGTGAGTAAAGTGGACCTTGCGGCCAAAAAACAAGCACAATCTTGTGGTTACTGCGATGGCACGTATACATTTTGAGACAATTGTAGCAAGTACGATCAATTATTTAGATTGTATTATATAATTTTTTATTTTATTTTCCAAATTTACTTTATTAGGACATAAGTTTTGAATTATTTTCAATTGTTCACTCATTTACGATTTATTAAAAAATTCTTTTTAGTGTGCTTGTTTTGAGAGATTATTTTATGAGATTGGTCTATTAGTTCATTTGGACTAATAGTCTATTATCTGGTTCAATTTTTTTTGTTCCGAATTAATAGTTCCTCCGGACTGTTAGTCCCCCATATGAGAGATTATTATATCTTAAGGGGAGGGATGAGATTATTTCCATGGGATTAGTATCCCATGAGACTAATGTGTGAAATGTCTATTTTATCCTCATACTATTACTTAATAAACATTTATAAATTATTTTTTTACTATTGTTAATTTAAAATTATATATTACATAAAAAATATAAATCATAAATTATAAATTTAATTTAATTACAAATAATAAATTATAAATTATGGCCGTATAAATTAAATTTTTGGGTAAATTACAAATATATTCCTTGAGATTTGTTTAAAATACGAATTGTTGTTTGTGGTTTGGAAAATTACAAATATCTCCCTATCAAAAAATTTCATTTAACAGAATTAATTGAAAAAGTTAAATTTCTAACTGTTCACCTATACAATAATAAAATTATCTGAATTATTAATTGAAATAAAATTTTAACATTATTAAAAACTGTTAATTAACTTGATTATTTATTAATAAAATGATCTATTTATTATGAAATTAGAAATCTTAGGAGACATAATGTAATTTCTAGAATCACATGGGATAATTTATAATTTAAGTAAACATCAGGGGTGTGTTTGTAATTTACCCTAAATTTTTTTAGTGTTGTTAAAAAATTAAATTTATATATTAAATAAAATTATTTTTTTAGTGCTGTTAATTTAAAATTATATATTAAATAAAAATATATAAATTATAAATTTAATTTAATTGAAAATAATAAATTAAAAATTATGGCCTTATAAATTAAAAAAATTTAGTGTTGGTAAATTATAAATTATTAATTATAGATTACAAATTTAAAATTATTTATTAAATAAAAATTATAAAATACAAGGGTAAAATAGTTTTTTGAACATTTATCCTTATCCAGTCCGTCCAACCAAACATTGGATTCACTAAAAATAGTCCAATCCAAACATCTAATCCCATGATTAAACAAACATAGGATATAAATCTAGTCCAACCAAATAGTCCGGGAACAATGTATCCTAGAACTAACAGTCCAATGGATTACAATCCCCCCTTATCCAGTCCGTCTAAACAAACACACTCTTAGAGTTTATTTGACATGTGGATTGATTTTTTGACTTTTTGACTTTTAATTTGGGGTTAAAAAACCTCATTTGGGATAAACTTTTTGTTTTGTTTTGTTTTTTTTTAAACTTTTGTAAAAGAAAAAATGAAATGATTATGAGTTGAATATGGCATTTTGTCTTATTTGGTTAAAATAACTTATTTTGTCTTATGTGACTATTTTAGCCCAAAACATCTTCCCAAACAAGCTCTCAATCAGTTTTTTTCTTTTTTATAGATATTTTTATATTTTAATAAGTCTTATTATTTTGAATATTTAATCTATTAAATCTTAATTCTCATATTTGAGATATTTTATAAATAATTTTATCCTTACAGGCCGTGGTAGAGTCAGAATTTTGGCTCAGATGGGACATCATTGAGTTGAAATCTTAATAAAATTTACAATCAAACTTAATCTGATTTTTATTTGATGGAAGGAATAAAAAGCACCGTAATACAAATGTTATTTTTAAATATAAGCTCGAGTTAACAGATCTTAATCATTTTTTATTTTTTATTTTTAATTTAATTTTATATATGATGACCACATGGTTTGAAAAATAATCGCATGCCTTATAAAATATGAAAACGATATTATATTAAGTTGCACACACAAAAGAGATATAGGAATAAAAAGAAAAGAAAAGAATACAATCAAACTTAACCTAATTTTTATTTATGGTAGGAATAAAAAGCACTATAATACAAATATTATTTTTAAATATAAGCTTGAGTTAACCAATCTTAATCATTTTTTGTTTTTAATTTGATTTTATGTATCACATGGTTTGAAAAATAATTGTATGCCTTATAAAATATGAAAACAAAATTATATCAAGTTGCACGCACAAAAAAGATGTAGATAGGAATAAATAAATTAAAAAAAGAAAAGAAAAGAAAAGAAATGAGAGAGAATGTAAATAAATAATACAATGACATTGCTATCTAAGACTTATTTTATTTTATTTTTTTATAGTTTTGAATCATTAAATTACATAGTAATATATTATTAGTTGTTATTAATTGTGTAATAAGTATCTCTAAACAAATGAACTAATTATGAGTGTTCATATAAGAGTTGATATAACAAAAAAACTCAATGACATGTAATATTTCTCTAATATGAAAAATTGGTAACACATAGTAATATATTAAACAAATTTTTTTGAAGAGAAAATATAAGGAAAATAGTGATTTAAAAATTTAATATCATATTTGAATGGATTAAATTGAATTTTTTTTTTTAACTAGAGGCAAAAGTGTAATTTTTTAAAAGTTGAGAGGGACACTTGCCCCCTGGTCCTTACTTGCCTTTGTCACTGCTTACAAATATTTTTTGAATCCTTACCAACTTAGTGATATGAACATTCACATTAAATAAATTTAAATGTGAATGTTTACATTGATAATGTGAATGTTCACATCATAAAATATTCACACTGTCAATGTGAACATTAATACATGTTTCACCCTATCCGTCCCAAAATAATGGTCCCTTTTGGGGAATCTAACTTTTTTTGGTAGTACAATTATTGCACTTTAAAAAAACTAATTTTCCAAAATTACCATTTGATAGTACTTTTTTTGGGAATATTAATGTCATAATTGTACTTTTTATGTTGTTAATGAATTTAAAATAATGGCAAAATAAGAAATACATATTATTTTTGTACTTAATTTTTGAAAATGGACTAATATTTTGGAACAAAGAAAAATGGAATAAGGGACTAATATTTTGGAACAGATGGAGTATTCAGTGTGTTTGGTTTGAGTTTTTTTGAATTAAATTTTTTAAAAACTGAGTTTTTTAGTTTTCGTGTTTTTTGTTTTTAGTGAATATTTTTAAAATTTTAAATATTTTTTTTTACTTTTTTAGATGCACCTTACTTAGATGTATCTAAAAAGTAAAAAAATTGTGAAAAAATATTTTTAAAAATTAATAAATACATAAAAATACAAAAAATGTATTGAATTCTTGTATTTTTTTCTTTATATTTTTGGTATTTAGTGAATTTTTAAAAGGTTTTTTTCATAATTTTTTTACTTTTTAGATATGTTTATGTTAGGTATGTCTAAAAAGTAAAAAAATTGCTTAAAATATTAAAAAAATGCAGTAAAAACAAAAAAACACGGAAAACAAGAAAGTAGATTTTTCTAAAATGCGTTTTTTGAAAAACGTAACCAAGCAAGCTGATTATTATTATTAGAGTTGTTTTGGTGATTATGTCACTCATAGAATTTATTAGAATATAAGAAAATAATTTAAATTAAATGAAACATAAGTAAGTGAATAATTCTACTACAGTTGATCCAAGTTGCCACCATCACTAGAACCACTATCCTACTACCACTGCTCCCACCACCACTACAGTTGCTTCTCCTATTACAACCACTACCATCACCTTAACAAAAACCACAATACCACCACCACCACTACCATCGTGAGAACCACCACTCTACTACAGTTACCTACCACCACCGCTACCACTACTACCATGGCTCACACTTCCACAACTATCAACATTATCATGATCTATATAAATTTTTAACTTGTTTTATTATTAACTTAATAAAAAAAATAATAAATAATAACTTATTATATTCCATTAGTTTAATAAGTTTAACCAAACAATAGAATGAGAATTGTCATTATATTCTTATGTGATACGATATTTGCAATCAAACAATTGAATGGAAATGAACATTCCATTTCATTCAACGTTATATTTCATTTTCACTATCATTCTATTCTCACTTCATTCCATTCCTCCATACGAAACGTGCTCTTAGATTATGTTTAGCGTAACATTTTGAAACTAAACACATTTCTCTCATAACTTTTCAAACAGATTTTCATAAAAAGAAGAAAAAAAAAAGAAAAAAAGAAACTCTCAGAAAAGTGTTTAGTTTGACTTTTTCGATGATAAGTTTTGAAACATGTTTGCAAACAAATTTTGAAAAACAAAATCTCAAAAATCTGTTTGGTTTGATTTTTGTAGGAAAATAAATATAAAAAAAAGGGAATTTTTTTCAAGTCCCTGGTATTAAGACTTTACAGCATAAAGGACACTCAATATTTTCATAATGTCTAAGGTCCCTCAAGTTGATCCAGAGAAAATTGGTCCAGAGAAAATTGATCCAGAGAAAATTGGTCCAGAGAAAATTCCTCAATATTTTCATAATTTCTTCACCTGTTTGAATTTGCAGCGTTACCACCATGGGTTTGTTTACATGGTCTAGAGAAATTCTTTGGTTTAGACTAAATTTTCTTTGGTCTGAACTGAATTTTCTCTGAACTTTCTCTAGGTTGGTCCAGAGAATTTCTCTGGTTTGGTTGGTCTGAATTTTCTCTGGGTTGTTGGACTGAAATTTGAGAAGCTGATGCATACTTACCTTGATTGAATTGCCCATGAGATTTGTGATGATTTGCCGAA